GAGGACAATGCTAAGCGACACGCCTGTCCATAGCAGTTGCAGTACCAGTCTGCCACTGCGCCTGTCACCGTGAGACATGTTGACAAGTCCCATATGCCTATAATTTCACCAATAATGATAATAATAAGCATTTATTTCGGAATCTTGCCCACAGTGCCAGTAACACATCCTCTTAGGACTAGCATTAATAGACTAGGAAAAAAAAATGAAAAGTTATATCCTGGTGTGGAGCTGCACCCAATGCTGTAACATTGGGGAGTCGCACAGGTATATTAACACACTCAAGAGTCCGTTGGTGCTACCGCGGAGGCGGGCTAGCATAGAGGCGCAACGTATTCTCATTATAGCATAGAAGTCTTCCGCATGCGCCTCCGCAAATATTTCCGAAGCACTGCAATGCCAAGGTAGCCCCAACAGAACCGGGCCCGCAGGTCACTGTATGCACTCGCTACAAAATCGACCCAGAGGCTGCAGGTAGAATGATTGACAGTATGCTTTGAAAAGCGGAAATTTTAACAGGTACACCTTGCAAACCTTCGAGCCAGCATGTTACAGTGGACAGCCAGCGACCCGCGTTCCCTCTCTATTGTCCTTCAAATCCTCAGTGACTCAGTGGCCCAAGCACATTGACTTACAATTATATGGACGTCGAGTCCGCGCTAAAAAGTGTCCGAACTTATAGGGCGTTAAAATCGTATACAGAGCGTCATTCACGCTTTAGTCTTCGTTTGTTCGACTGACAGCGAAGCAAGCAAAATTAGACAGTACTGCGATGACATTACAATTTAAATTCAACGTTTTAGCTTTCTCATATTCCTTTACATGTCACTACGTTTAAATAGGTTGACTTGGGACATTTTTTTCGTGATTTTTGTATTAGACCCGTCGTCCATTTATTTGTAAGTTAATGCCCAAGCATTTAAATTTAGCCACCCGATACAAAGGTCTACCATTGAGCGAACTTTCAAAGCAATTACTAGGTACCTATTTACGTTTTCCAATTTTTATTTACTTTTTTGCATCCTACATCCATATTTACATCCTTTCTTTATCAAAAACAAATTTGTAAACAAGCAACACAAAGCGACATTCGAATTTCCGTTCCAGTTTAACAACAATAAGAATGGAACATAAATAATCAATTTTAATATTACTCAGAACTATGGAAGTGGCGCCATGCGAATTGTAAACAAAGTAAGTTCATGGTCTAAACATACCTCCCTGTAGGACTCCGATTTGGCGGTACAAAAGATGCCGATGTTTTTGTATTAGAACGATTGTAGTGTACGTAAAAAGAAATCCGATAGATATAATATACTATTTGTTTCTTGCATACAATGTCAATCATCAGAGTCACAGGGCCGCAGTCTGCTAATTTGAAATCATCTTAGTTGAAATGAAATAAAACAGTGCTTCACAAAACAGGCTTAGGAATAGGGTCCTTATGGTTAAATAAAACTAATATAAAGATTGATCGAACTGTTTTTTGAGAGACTGGTGCCAGAGATAGTTATAGAAAGACTTGCATTACGGGTCCCCAGGCTTCCACTTTGCAGAAAAGCAATGTGGTTGTGGCACTGTTGTAATACAGGAGAAAAATTAATTAAAGCTCACAAATATTCCTAAATTATAATAAAACCTATTAGTGCATTAAACTAAGTATTTAGATTCTCTAAAACAACACTAAATAAGCTCACGATATGTGTGTTCGACTCTATCGACACACGATAGTTGTGTGTATGTGGATAGAGTGATAATGACAGGATTTTGTACGTTTGGTATTCAGCTCAAATTTAAAACTAGTGACTTGTGAATGACGCAGAGTACCCGGGTTCGATTCCCGGGCCGGGAGAATATTTGTAAGGCCTACATTTATTTCTCTCGTGAGTTTGAGTGTAATTTGTGGTTGTCTATGTGTCTGTCCATGGCATCCGTGATACAGGGTTTCCCTAGGCTATGAGTGTGTGCGTTGTTATATTTGTTATTGCTTGACGGTAGAAGTAGGTGGCAGTACTTCCCTTTACGAACTCTTTCACGAGGAGTTCTACTGTTGGTAAATTTCTGCTTCTATCAATTCTTAAGTTCCTTTCGTTTCAGGGTACAAATTACGGCATAAAAAAGAGAAATATGTTCTTAATTTTAGTTCCTCAATAAGATGAGGTAAAATTATTTTTTTAAACCAATGTTAACATAATCATCAACAACCTTTTATAAGTCCAGTTGCCGTGTTCTCGTGAGTTTGGATGTAATTTGTTTGTTTATCTATGTGTGTGTGTCCCTTGCATGGCATCCGCGAGACAGGGTTTCCCTAGTGTGTGTACGTTATTATAAATTTTCGGAATTTATGTGCGGAATTAAATTTGAAATTTACCATGAGCTTTTGATGATAAAACATCGTGAGGAAATCTGCACACACCTGAAAAGCAATTTAATGATGAGTGTGAAGTTCTCGATCTGTATGGGCCCGCGTGAGAAATATGAACAGTCGGGAGATTCAACTGATACGGAAATACTAGCAAAAAAATAAAATTAATTCCAACGAAAGTCATATCAGTATGACAAGCTAGTATGACCTACTACAGCCCAAGTGATTGACTCACGATGAGCGTGAGTGGAGGCCTGTACCTAGCTTTGGGATTGGTACGCTACTTATATCATTTACAATATTTATTAATTAAAAATTTTATTTTACTAAAAATTTTTTCCGATTTCTGACATTTCAAATACTCGTACCTCAGTTGGTCCCATAGAGACTATTGATCCTTACCAGAGACGGGATCGAATGGTATAAAAAAAAGTTTTGTAAAAATTGCTTTTTATCTTGCTGACTGTACCATTTTTTCAAAATCTGTGAATGCCAATAAAAATATCTTCAAAATCCATGGATAGTCGTCTAGATCCGTTTTCCTGTAACTACAACGATAAAGGTAGCTGGCCTTGCTGCCCCGTCTCAAATATACACCCTGTATACACAATAGCGATTATTGACGCCTAGGTTTTTAGTTAATAAACCAGTGTATTATAAAAAAAATAAAACGCAATTTATTATAACTTACAAAGTTATGCGACAGTAAATAATTGCGTCTGAAATTTTGAACCGTTTGTCGTGTTCGTCGCGGAGATAAACGCATGCACAAGCTAAACGCGTCTATTCCACACGAAGCCCTGCAGGAACTTTGATAAGTGGTGTCTATACTCCTATTTTAACTAATTATTTTTTGTAGCGACTTGGGGAAGTTAGGTATTTTGAAAACGAGGCACCTATCGCACTGCGGCATCTATCCCGGTTTTACCCTACTATTAAGTACATTTCTACTTTTTGAAATAAATGTTTTTACCTTAATTTTTTTACTCTCTTACACATTATCAAACTCCTTAGCTGCACTATGAAAATTTGACTGTGCAAATGTGCAAACAGTGCGGGAACGTTGAATTTAGCACTTTCTTTCAAGGCGGCGCGGCGTGGGTTTCTTAGTATACCAAAAGTCAAATGTTGTGTGACCGCAGGTGGTACACGCCGGTCTGAACGTGTTAAGCTTTTATTGTTTTTTTATACCTTACCGGTCTAAAACATCAATTAATACTATCATAGTAATCAAAACTATAATGTACGATGTACATGATACGTTAGATACTCAAAAAGTCAATAAACAAGAAACAAACAAGTTTAATTAATAAGTTTATTATGATTCAGTTTTTAAACAAGGTTAATAGGTGGTGATTAGGTAACTACAGTGTTTAGTTACAAAAACAATCGCTGACTTTTTCAATACAGTTGGAATTATCGTGGGAAAGACAATGAGTTGCAATTTCGCAATCTGTTCCTGCGCTTAGTTGCAAAAAAGTTAGTTGTGAATGAAATTGGAGATTGGAGAAAACCTAAGACGTAATTGTGGTAAAAAATTGTAAACAATCATTTCTATAAATGCGTACAACGATATTTTATGTAGGTATATTGGATAATTTCGAAACTACATCTATTTACGTCATAGACAACTACTGGACATAGGACTTTAGAAATAAGCGAGATACAATGATTTAAAAAAAAAATTATTTATTGTAAATATATTTACACGGTATTGCAGTTAAGAACTAATGCACCGTAAAAGCTAAGATGATTATAAAAATATGATACAAAAAAAGAATTGAAAAAAAAAATTAAAAAAGACAAATACATTATAATTATACACTCGATTCCCTAGCACGTATCATTTCACAGAATCTCAAGCGTTCACAACGCATTGCAGCCCATCGCCACGCAAGCAGATCACAGTCCGGTGCTAAGAGTTCGTCCGAGCATTGTGAGGGGACGGAGCAGTGCGACTTTCCTATGCGATAGTGTACGCGCAAAAGGCACTGCGAATAGTTCACGTCGTCCTCGCACTCTAAGAACTATTGGATGTCTGGGACAAATAGCCTTACTAGTTGTCCCACAAGTTCAGGACAATCTGACTCGCGAATATCATCCAAATATACATAATATCCGTTGTCTTTAGCACGCTTATATTTTTTTATATTTCTAAATGACGGGGCTCACAAGTTGTGGGCCTGGTCGTAATAAGCGACACTTAAAGCTTTAAATCGTAAAGATCTGAGGGGCACTGCCATTGCGCCTGTCGCCCTGAGACATAAGTTGACAAGTCCCATGTGGTCGTAATTTCACCATTATCTTACTCAAGATCTTGTAAATTGAATTATCGAAATTATTGTTGAAAAAAATTCATTGACAAATGTTTTGTGTTTAACCATTTCGTAAAGCAATCAAAGACAATGTCCAAACAGTGTGAATGAACTAACATACATTTGTAACAATTTATTTTGATGACCATTCATGTGTGTAAAAGCACTAACACAGGTAGGTAAAAATTAAATAACTTTATGTCCTACTTATTGAAGTAATTATTATAAAGTTATTATTCAATGAATATACCTACCTTATCAAACTATACATCCTCCTAGCGTTGTATACCTCATTACTGAGGGTCATGACTCCCCCGCAGAAACCAGCTTCGCATGACGATGCTGTGCCATCTGTGGCGCTCTTTGGCGTAGTGGAGCGCATCATGGAGACTCAAGCCGATAGCCGTACAAACTTGGTCGGATCATCTCGTGGGACAGCGACCCCACAGACGTTTACCATCGATCCGTCTGGTGACCATTAGTTGTTCGAGGCTGCGCCCTTCTTCCTGGCATTGTGACCAAAGAAATGAAATGTCCTAAGTAGATATAAGGTGGTAATTTTATTGGGTAACAGTTACTCCGAATGGGGATCATTGCACTCGGTAACACGAGCAGCTTTGGCTGTGGGGACCTAACCCACTAAAATCGCGAAAAAATTGATTTTTTAAAATATTTTAGTCGGGTGGGTATGAAATTTGGTATGGAACAGGTGAATTTTTTTCCATATTTTTCTATAAAGGTGCCTACAGATTTCTTTAAATGATACCAAGTGTCGGGATGAACAAGTTGTGCGCCTGATGGCAAACGACACGTCTGTCGATAGCAGTTGCAATATTCAGAGCTTTAAATCGCTAAGATCTTAAGGACACTGCCACTGCGCCCGTCATTCTAAGACGTAAGTTGACAAGTCCCATCAGGTAATTTCACTAGTACCCTTGCTTTCCAAAACCGGAACGCAGTACCTAATGCTAACATTACTGCTGGGCTGCAGAAATAGGTAAAATAATATTGTATAAACACTACCCGGAACACCCAGACTAGAAGTAATTTAGAAAAACCACGTTTTTGTACTTAGTTCCACTAGTAATCAAATCTGGGATATCCTCATTTAACAAACAGAGCCCTAACCGCTACCCCTAACCTAACTGTCGTCTTTCATTACATTGCATACAGAAGTTATTAATGGGGCAGAATTGGGCATTGCCTATTTCTTTTCATTCCAAATTAGTCATAAATATGTATCATCAAAGTGCTCTGAGAATAGTAACATGGTTGGGATTGTCTTAATTACTCATCTCGTCTTCAAGGCCTTAAACTTCTTAACTACTCTCCTCTACTAAGGACAGGGTGTTCTAAGACCCCCCATCCGCCGTTTAAACCGCTTGACGGAGTCAGATGTCACCGGTTTACCTGGAACCACGTGGGAACACAACACCGCATTCACACATACCGCGAAACAGCTCTACATTATACGGGGAACTACTATTGAAACTCACTCAATACTCGCTGTTGTCAGTATCAGAAATTGGAATAGGCAAAATATTTACGTAAACTTCAAGTAATACTCATAGACACGATAAAACCTTTGAAATCTCTTAGTGATTAATAATGAAATCCGAAAAACTAACACAAATTAGTTAATTTTTACTTACAATTATAAAAACTTTTTTTTTAACATACTGTCCTAATAACTATTTGCGAAAGCTTCACACTAATACATGAACTAGAACAAAAAAGAGACCTCCTAATTTGCGTAGTTTATTGTACTTACAATTTACCTAAATATAAAAATCTATATGGACAAAGAATTACAAGCTTCCTGATGCGCCAAACATATTACCTTGCTTAGGTACAAACAGTGCAAAAGCCGATTGAAGGTATTTTTCTTCAAAAAATACTCTAGTACTGTTTGATGAAAAATTTGATCGAGTATTAATATTGTTGGTTTTTGTTGTTAGTAGAAATATCAGTTAATGTAATAAAAATTTAAAAATATTATTAGTGTACAATTTCTCTTCTTTAATATTATTTCTTTTAATTTAGTTTATTTTTATTTTTGTTTTTCTAAAAGAAAGCACATTATGTTGTGCAATAACTGAAGCCACCTACGTATAAACCCGTTAAAGGGATTGCAGTAGGTAGGTTAGATTTAAGAACCAATGTAAATAATTTTGTTTTTGGAAAATAAATGAAAAAGAAAGTTATTTGCAAGTTACATATTAACCTTAGCATAATAAAGCCATGAACATAACACGGAATATATGAAACAAATTATATTTACGAAATATTAGAACTCTCTCATAAAAATTATCTTACCTATTTCTGCCACCAAGCAGTAATGATGCTGGTGAAGTTACAGGCACAGGGACTTTGCCACTTATGTGCCAGGGTGACAGGCGTAGTGGCAGTGTCCCTCTTTTGCGATTTACAGCTCTGAGTAGCCATAGCAGTTGCTATGGACAGACGTACAGAAATCAATCTAGAAAAAACGCCGACGTAGGCGGGTCACGCGTGACACAATCTTGACACATAATCAAAATCTCCTGAAGGCTCCCTCAGTATGCGTCGATTCCTGCTACAGTGCACTTGTAGCAAATTCCATGCAAAATGCCATACTGTGCTGTTTCAAATAGGAGTGCTAGTATCATTCGGTCAAAAGGAGGCATCTCCTTTCACCGTTGAGTCATTTTTAGTAACTTAAAATCTGTTTTAATAAAGTAAACACGAAAAAATAATTGACAAATTAATTAAAAAAAATCATTTTTTAGTTAATTTAGTTCATCATTCAGTCACAATATAGCTAAATTCAAATTTCATTGCGTGTTAGGTAAAATGCGCTCAACGCTCTGCGTATAGGCTTCTAACAAATTAAATTTGACAACTACTCATGGCAATTGGCATGTGTAAAGTAATGATGCAGTAAAGATATTTATTTATGATCGACAAAATATTGAAGACATGTTATATTGAAATAACAGAAAAAAATATTATTGTTACTGTATGTTTTTTAGTAGTCATAAATCGTAATCGATAGTGCAAGAAAACATTATCAATTAAAATTAGTATACCGTGGACAAATTAGTTTTACCAACATGTAAAGCTTACTATTTGGTATTTGTATGTGTAACCTAACTCATTAAAAATATGTATCTATTAAAATGTAATTTTACTATCGTGTTGATTTTTATTTTATTTTTTTATCACCTGTACGTTAAATATCAATACCGATAGATTTTAGAAAAATATTTATTTCACTAATTTATGTTCTCTCAAGGTCACGTAGTGGGCGAAGTTTGTCAAAAAGATGACACGCTTCTTCCCTTATAAAAGTGCAACAACGCCGTTCTATATAGATTTATCTCTGTGGAACATGCCGTTTAAGACCAGGCACACGACTTGTTTGACACATTGTATCATAAAAAAAATCCACTGTTCGTTATTTCGACTAAAATATGTCATTTGTTATTATGTCGAATGAACCGCACTCCGTCGTTTCATGGCCGTACAATTGGAATACAGAGTGAGTTCTTATAGTAACGTAACGCATGCAATGCTGATGGTGATTGTTTGTTTTGGAAAACATCATTTAGAATGAAATTATGAACTTACATGATTTCTGTCGAGGAAACCCCGTGTTCAATGTTTTAATAGGCAAAGTACAAGTAATTCAATTCTTTCGCTATGGCCGAATTTGAAAGAACTAATTAGGAATGAAACAATTTTTTGGAACCAAATCGCGTATTTATATTTTCCAACAAATCAACGTTTTAACCTATGCAGCACTTTATACACAGGTCTAATGCCATGGTCATGGCTAATTCAAAGAACTAAATCTTCTTGGGAGCACAAATGCTTCTTAATTAAGAGATCGACGGTTCTTCTTCATATCCTTTCGATGGCACACGTTACGACACTAGTTACTAGATTTAATGGCGGCTACTGTAGTGGCCATTAAATCTTCAAGCATGCAGGTGTTAGGGCACGGAGGACACCATGTGAGATGGGCCATCGTTTGAATCGTGCCGCTCAAACAATCCAGGTTACAATCGTCCGAAAATCCCCACCTGAACAAATTGTCCTTACTCCAACCAACCTGACCTTGAAGTCTATATAACGACTTCCAGAAGGAAGACTCTGAGAAGGCGCGATAAGGTAAATGGTACTCTTTCGCACCAAAGGTTGCACCTCAAAGGTATAATAGCAGTAGAGCTCCTTGTGAAAGAGTTTCAGGGAAGTATTGCCACCTTGCCTACTTCTGCCGCCAAGCAATAATGTCAGCATTACCGTGTTACGGTTTTGAAGGGCAAGGGTGCTGGAGAAATTACGGGCTCATGGGACTTGTCAACTTGTGTCTCAGTGTGACGGGCGCAGTGGCAGTGCCCCTCAGATATTTTCGATTCAAGACATAGTTCTGATATGTAGAGATAATGAATGAAAGAAGACTGACGAAACAGATTTAAAAGGCGAGTGTGAGCGAGCAAGTTGGTAAGGGCCGACCAAACCGAAATACCATGACCAAATTGAGGCCGTCCTAATGAAGGGCCATAGTACCAACTAACGTGTATGAAGGCGCTGATGCGTGTTGATGAGAAAGATGTGTGTCAGGACCGTAGCAAGTGGAAGACTGTTGTTGCTGTCTACCCCGATGGGAAAAGGCGTGAAGTTTGTATGTGTGTTTATACATCATCATCAGACTTAAGAATTATACTCTTGTCGGTGGAGCATCTTCCAGTCATTTCTCCTACAAGCCAGCTCCTTAACCTCCTTATACGACACGACACCGGCCTTTTCCTTTATTTGATCTATGTGGCTACGCCTAGGTCGGCCTCTTCCCCTCAATCGTTCCCTCCAAAATGGTCTTAAAGAAGTTGTCGTGTCGTATCAAATGTACAATCATTTTCCTGCGTTTATACTACATACAAACCTCAGGTTAAAAAAATAATGTAGCAACGAGCTGGAAATGAATTTATTTTCGGATAAAAATCGCGAATATTTGTTCTTTCAAACAAACCGCGTCAGCCGTGACCACGGGACCTGTAAAGGGCCTGAAACAATGGTTTATTTGAAAAAACAAATACACGATTTAAATGCGAAAAAATACTTGCATTTTCTATGTAAAACAGCCGCGAACGAGCTATGAGTAGATATTTATTGAGCACCAAGAGCCTGTGAGGCCAGAGCACCGGACCTTGGATCCGATTATTAAGTTGCACCCTTTAGTGTGGCAAGCCTAGCTTAAGAGCTTAGAACACCATAAGTATTTCTTATAAAATACTGAATAACTAAAAATAGACTGACGTTTTAGCATGCAATGGTTGGTATTATTTTCAAAACTTTTGGTCACGAAGCAATTCCCAAGATCGTACAAATATAACATGTGTTTTTTTTGTATCACATGATTTGGCTGACAATTTTTTTTTTCCAGTGCTTCTACCTAAAACATGTAAAATTGTAGCAAAATTTTCAAATGTTTTAAGGTAAAATCCACATTGATAGCAACTCCTTTTCAAAAAGACCTAAGACTCACGCCATTTTGAAAAAATAAAAGAAAATTGCACATTAATGGACCTTAGCAACTGGCTGGCAAAGCCCGCCTTTTTAAGGTCAAATAAAAAGCATACAAAAAGAAAATGATTATTTCAAACTCCGAACTATATGGAACACCCGGCGAATGCTCCGCCCATTTACTGTCTCTTTCTTGCGCATCGTGCTATCTATTTCTCTCCCATAGCTTCGAAGTTTGAAATGAAACCTCCTTTGTTATTTGACCCCGTATCTTCTTAGAGAGAGGGTGTGTTGAGATTTTAAAATTAAAATACTTTTTTTAAATTTGTGAATGTGGTGCGATGTGAAATTTGATAGTGCAATATTAAATGTGTGCCTAAAATTGGTTTTTGTTTTTAAAGGTAAGTTATTATTATAAATATACTAACATACGAGTTACGCTATACAAATTATTGTTTCTTAACCTGAACGTTGTGTTAATTATTCTAAGGTTCAATTTTTAACAAATAATTTTGACACATTGCGTATATTTAGGTGTAAAGTGTAACTCACAGTAGGGACTTATCTTTTTAATAATTACGTAATATTAATAAAGGCGGACATAACCTTATTGGAACAATGCTAATAACATAGGATACTTTGAGATAATGAATACTTTTTAAAAATACGTCAAATAACAAATGAATTTTAAGAGATCAGTTTCTTAAAATCTGTAATATTAAAAAAAGGTAACGGTCCAATTAAATATATTCCAATTTCAATGATGGTGAGTATTAAACAAAATTTTGTGAATTATTTAAAAAAACTATCATTTTGAATTTAATTACTATTTTGGAGAGCGAAAGGTACAATTTGTGTATGTAACATTATTTTTTCATATGACTGCCGCCGGGTTACGGGGGCGGTGAATCATTTGCTTTACATAATTGAGAAAAATTTGCGTTTTCGCTACCAACAACTATCGCTATCGCTAACATAGTAGAGACATAGGCTCTTCAATAATATCTTATTAAGAATCAAAAACCTGTAGTTCTTTTTTTAAAAATCAGACTATTTTATTTTATTTTATTTTAAAAAGTCGTTGGATTTAAAACTTGAGGTGTTTCTATATTGCAGTTGAATTATCTGTACCAAATTAATGAAAAAAAAAAGATAAAATTTACCGCGAATATTGTTTACAAACGATCTGATTTTTAAATTTATTTATTTAGAAAGTTTTTATTACGTCTTCGTATTTTGTTAATCAATCTCATGTCAATATTTATTTCAAACCTTAACGATGCGTTGTTTTGACAACAGAAACGAAATTTTCATATGAATTCATTTTGATGTGAAGACAAAATTTGATACTTAGAAATCAATAAGCGAAAAACAGCTGACAAGAATTTGTAAAGAATTTGCAATAAATGTAAAGCTTGAAACTAAGTTAATAGTTTATTTTTTAGTTATAGTTCAAATCTGCGGTAAAAGTCTTTTAATTATAAGAGTTTCAAAATTGCCACCGTAACGATATTTAATGATTTGCCGCAAAAATTGTCAGATAATTAAATTATTGAAGAAAAATTAGAATTCAAGATCTGGCAGTTTAGCTAATTGACGTCTCAGGGTCGTATTCTAGAACTCTACTCGATGCTCAAGTCAGGATTGCAATGGAAACACAAGCACTGGAAATAGGACCATTAGGGCAAGGTCTTGAGTATGATTTCGAGTGCTTTAAACCATACTCAAGTCCTGACTTGAGCATTGAGTAGAGTTCTAGAATACGACCCTTAATCTGGCCCGATGAAAAATGTTACTACCTAAAGTATTAGTAGGTCAATGACCTAAAGTCTCTTTATTACCTGTATAAAGTATACTTTTTAAAATTTACTGCTAAAGGATTTTTCAAAATGATTGTATTAAAAATTAGCTGACAACTTCAAAACACAACGGATTTTAGGAAACGGATCAATTTCGGCGAAAACGATGTTTTCACCAATATGTCCGGTTCGTGTCACACTTGTTTTGAAAACAGACGCTGTTATTTTTACGCCGTACGGTCGAAATTTTTTAAATGTTTTTAAATAATAATTATAAATGTTATGAAACGGAATAGAGCATGTCCGTTCAATCCAACATTTCGTCAATTCACTCTTCGATTTTGTTAGAGTTCACAGTGAACTGCCAAAAATAATGAGCTGCTGAGATAGGCGAGTTTTAAAAATGGAATCGTTATTTTTAAAATGATTTAGAATACATATTTGAAGAACAAAAAACATTCCGTTTTGAGGGTAGTTTTTGCATTACTTTAATGTTTAAAATATAGTAAATCAACGAGGTGTAATGTACGTCTAAATCTAACTTCTTAATGTATAACGGATTTCTTTTCAGGTTTTTAATATACCCCGAAATCATGAAATCGACAAATGTAGAATCGTGTTCTGACCGCCTCAGTCCGTCCAGTGACCTCACCAGCGAATCGGAAACATCTCTACCTCCATTCCCGTACGATAGTCAAAATGGTACCTTCTATTCCCAACCAGATATAAATGAAAAACAGTACTTTTCTTGCAAACAAAAATCCCCAAGAAACGATGAAAAAAAAGATTATCTACAAGAAAGTAATAAAATCTCCTTCGAAAATTACTTAACGCCGCAGAAGAATAAAAAATATTTAAACTTCGAACTCAAACTCCCGCCAACGAATGACAACTTTTTTTCACAAATCGAAAATGAAGAAAGAATGCGTTCAGGATATTTCAATGATAACTTAAAAAGTTGCGTTCAAAATGAAAATAATCCCATGTCGGAAATAAAGTTGAATAATCAAATATCTTTTGATAATGTGAATAATATAAGTAATGACAGAGATAGAGTTTCGCAATATTTTGGTGAGAATGAGAGCGGAAATATGCGAAGGTGTTTGAACTTTAATTCCGAACAAGTGCAGTGTTTGTGCGAAGCGTTGCAACAAAAAGGAGATATTGAAAAGTTAGCCGCTTTCCTGTGGAGCCTGCCGCCGAGTGAACTGTTGCGTGGAAACGAAACCGTTCTGAGGTATGTTGGTAAACATTATGAATGATAGAAATCCGCGGTTGAATTTACGTGCGCGTTATCGCCATTTTTGTTTAGTTAATAATTTTGAAGTCAGCTTAGTAGTGTGATTTTCAGGATAGTTTTTAACCGATTTTAAAAAAAGGAGGAGGTTCTCAATTCGTCTCTATGTTTTTTTGAATGTATATTACGCGATAACTACGCCATTTGTGAAACAATTTTGATGATTCTTTTTTTGTTAGAAAGAAGGTACCTCAGATGTGGTCCCATTTAAATTTCAAGAAATATTCCACCATTATTATTTAAATATTCTAGGATATTATCACAAACTATTTTTTTTTTATAAAAACTAAGTGACGGGACGAACAAGTCGTGCGCCTGATGGAAAGCGACACGCCTGTCCATAACAGTTGCAGTACCAATCAGAGTTTTAAATCACAAACTCTCACACTACTGCTTGGCGACAGAAATAGTTAAGGTGGCAGTACTTCTCTGGGCGAACTTTTTCACACGGAGCTCTACTGCTACTAAATTATTTATTATTGCAGTGTAGCAACCTGAAAATATTATTCAATATTTCATGATAATGCAATTTACATAATAAAAATTGCCACCGAAATTAAGCAGAGAAAACTAACCTGATAATTACACTAATTATAAAGCCCCTTACTTACTTAAGTCTCAGGGTAACTGGCTCAGTGGCAGTACCCCTCAGGTCTTTGAGATTTAAAGCTCTGAGTGGCACTGCAAATGTTATTGACAGACGTGACGATTATCACCACGCGCACTTGTCCGTCCTATTATATCGCACTGCTATTACAATAGTGTTATAACACAAAATAAAGTAAAATTTGACTCTATACATGTCAATAAAACCGTCGTTAGAATATGGTAAAAAACAATTAAAAGATATCTACTTAACTCAAAATGAGACACGCTTTATGTGAGCTAGTTCTCGTCAAAATAGTCCTTATTCAAAAATATGAAACTATTTTTTCTTTTTAAATATGTATACTTGGCAAGTAGGAAATAACTTAGATATATAAATTTACACAGATCTTTCACGGGAAGCGAGTAATTTGTTTTTCGTCGATTGTGAGAAAATACACTTTTAAATTTAATACACTATTGTATTAATAGTGCGAATTATGATATCAAAAAATATATTCGTGATACAGGATTTTCCTAGTGCGGGGCGATGAGCGTGTGCGTTATTTATTATTATTTATTCTATTTCCAAAATTTGTATACAGAGCTCGGGCGCTAGTCGCTTTCCATCGAGGCGTATTTCAAGAGTTATACGCGATACTGGAAGCCCACTCTTTTCCTCCACGGCATCACGCCTTCTTGCAGAACCTGTGGTTTAAGGCGCATTATTTGGAAGCCGAAAAGGTCCGAGGCCGGGCGCTGGGTAAGTAAAAAAAGAAATTTAATATAATTATGCGAAAAACAATCATACCAATTACCAGATACCGAACTGTGTATAGGTAGGTTTTCAACGATTATGAGTAGAAATTATGAAGACGGTCGACATAAAACATATAGCAAGCTAACGAAACGCAGTAATAACTATGTACTACTTAGCTGGTGCCTGCGATTTCGTTTAGAATAAGTACTTGGAGTAGCCTATTGTACTTTACCAATTTTCATAGATTTAATGGTTTTCCGTACAAACTTTCATTCTCTATTTCACCTTATTTAAGATTCATTTTTGTAACAAAAAGTAGCCTATGTCCTTCTCGTAGGTAGTTTTCGGTGAAGAAAAAGGACAGCGGACTATAGCCTAAACCCTGCCCAGCAGTGGGACGTATGAATGTGATGATTTTCTTTTCGTCTCATTATGTCGTATATTTGTTTTTTCAAACAAACCAACGTTTCGTGTCCTGTATACTTCATTTCCTACGCGTAATAATCGCATAAACCAAAGAAGTCAATAGTTATATCTACAAATGTATTCAAGACGTTTTGTAAGGCGATTATCACACTGCACCGCGCCACGCGACGGAGCGCGGAGCTGCAGTTTTTAACGTTGTACTGAAGTACCTCAGTTTATATGGAAAACACGCGCCGTCTGTCGAACACACTGACAACGCCTCTCCGGCCCGCGCGGTTTTACCGCGTCCCCGCGCGGAGGGGCGCGGCGAACCGCAGGGTATGGCACACTGTGCTCCGCACCACCGCGCAGATTTTTAAGCTTAAGGACATGTTCAGTTTTCTACAATAGATCTCGACGTCGATAAATTTATATTTGCTATTGAAAATGGACCAAATTTATCTTCACATTTTCTTAAATCTTTGTAATGGAGTTGAAATTATCCAGTTATGTATCCAATATCTTCGGTGTCTTTTTATTTGAGTAAACAAAAACCAAATAGACAGTATAACTGCAGCGTCCTGAATGAGTTCTGTATTATTAACCATTCTTGTCAAAGAAGGATCTCGGCTACCTAAACAATCGCTATGGCGATCAACTGCGAAGCGAGTACTTTAAGTGACGCGGGCCCGCTAGACCGCTGCCCCCGCGCAGATTACACCGAGCGTTGACGCAGATCTGCGTCTCCGCCACCGCGCGCGTGATTCCGCGTCACGCGCTCCGTCGCGTGGCGCGGAGTGTGGCGTGCAGTGTGTTAATCGCCTAAGTAGGCACAAAATGTTTGTTTACGTTGCACAATCCGTTGAAAGCCAATTAGGAAAGAAATATTTAGGTCTTGTCTCAAGTAATATGAACTGTACACTTGATATCACGCATCTGTTAGTTTGAAACTTTTTACGATTAGGTACATACTGAAACGTCACGGTTTAGGAGTCTACAGACTATAAATGAAAACGCACGGATGGTTTTACACTTATATTTCGTAGGTTTACAAATTTTAGGGGTGAGTAGAGACAACGGAGAGGTCGCTTAGTGATTTCGCGTACGTTGGAGACATTTAGCGTAATCTTCTTCTTCTTTTTGCTTAATGGCGCTACTCTTTAGATTTCGCCAGTATCGAGTTTCCACTTAATACTTTTAAGGGCTTCTGTAGACCGCTATTCAGTGAGTATTATGAGAGCACAATGTGATATAAAAATACTTTCTTATTAGATTTTAAAATTGCAGAGCTGTTGAATTGACTAAAAGGGACAGAGAACAATATATATAGACAAAGTTAGTAGGTATGTTAGGCAGGACGAACAAATTATAATTTTATGTTATTGCTGGTTATATATAATCGCAAAGGACATTGCAAGACACATCCACAAGATTTAAAATCGTATTAAAATTTGTGGGTTTGGGAATGAGTGAGGGGAGGATATCGTACAAGGAGACGGTGTACTTGTTACGTGTACGTGTGTACGTGTTATAACTGAAGAAAATGTGATTCGGAGTTCCTTCGTCCAGCTCGCGTTCGCAAAGCGAGCTGTCCCTTACCCTAATTTTAGCTAAGTGAACTCTTAGCGTAATGCTTAGACTATGAAATCACTACAGTACCGGCTATGCTATGATGGCCGTTTTGATAGATTACAATAGTGACATCAAATCTCATTTGATTATCGAAAAAAATGTAATCAAATGCGAGTCACTACTATAAGTTTTTAGATTTATAACTAGTACTGCAAGGGGTAGCTGATTTAAAAGTTTTAATAAAACGAAATTAAAAAGGTTTAGTTAGTATATCGACAATTCGAAACTGCTTTGTTTCGCATTTAACTTTAACGCGAGATTGTCGGAGATACGTGAGATGGCTATAAGTTTCCGGAATGAATAAGAAAAAATACTATAAATGTTCTGAAATGAATTCATTGTTTCTCTAAATATTCTCCGTTAGCGTTAATGCACTTTTTCATGCGAGTGAAACAATTTTGAAAACATTTATGCCACTCCTCAGTGACAATCTCTTCAGGTGATGAAAATCGTTGACCGTGTAACTGGTTCTTAATTTTTGGAAATAAATAAAAGTCACAAGGAGCCAGGTCGGGACTGTACGCGGGATGGCTCATAAGGTCAACTTTGTTCACCTTTAAAAATTCATTTGTCTATCTGGCCGTGTGAGAACTGGCATTATCGTGGTGCAAGATGATACGGCGTTTAAGGTTATTTTTACGGAGTTTGTCAATAACTTCCGGCAAACAAATGGTCGTGTACCAATCACTATTTACAGTATAACGATTCTCCAAAGCAACAGTAGCCACGTGTCCAGTTTTACTAAAAAAAAAGCAATCATCCGCTTAGAGACAATTTGCACGCGTGCCACTTTGGTTGGTTTCGGCTCATCTCGAAAGACCCATACGCAAAGCAACAATAACCCAAAACAAAGCAGCAATAGATTGCTGCTTTGTTTTGGGATCGTAACTATAAATCCATGTTTCGTCACCTGTTACTATGTCCCACACCAAATTTGACGCCCCTTCGTTGAATCTGGTAAGCATGGCATTGCACCAAGTGACACGATCCGTTATTTAAGCCTCAGTCAAGTTGTGTGGGATCCACCGAGACCACAGCTTTTTCACAACCAAATGTTTGTGTAGTATTGATTGTATTTGACTCATGCCTATGCCTAATAAAAAAAATAAAAGATGCCCGAATCTCATGGTATTTCTCATGTCTGTCTGTTTTGATCATACGGCGCACAGCATCGATGTTTTTGTTGTTCACAGCAGTGGACGGGTGATCATCACGAAATTCGTCACTGAGATTCACACGACCGCGTTTGAATTCTGCAAACCAGCTATAAATAGTCATCTTCTGTGGTGCTTCATCGCCAAAAGCAGTTTGAAGCCGAGCGAAGCTCCGCTTAGCTGTTAATTTACACTTAAAGTCGTAGAAAATCATACTACGAAAATTTTCACGAGTTAAATCCATGGTGATGTAGACAACCAATTTCTAAAATGACGCCACAATGTAAAAACAAATTACAGTCAGATGAAACAAACTGTATTCTACAGCCAAAGAGTTCCATTTTCAAATGTTGTAATTACTTTTTAAATATTGTTTATGTAAGCGGCCAGTTCCAGAAAAGTATAGTGCGCCCTATGAATAAGTTGTGCTTTGTGCAGGCAAGCGATCCCTTAAGTGACGATCGTATTAGATTTCATTTTTAAAAATTGCGAAGAACAAATGCCAAGTTGTGTCGTAAAATTATACATTCCATAAATTTTACTGCACTTTACACTATTGACAACAATGTATATCAATTATATGCTTCAAAATAGTTATGAATTAATACGAAACTTGATGAGCGAAGAAACGTCACAACGGTCATCATAACGTGCCGGTACTATAGGTCACGCGCGTTACGTGTGGTGGTCACAGACGCCAAGGGTTGTTCAGGTGCGCGAAGAACTCAGGAGCGCGGTGTGCCAAGGTGGTAAATTTGCCGAGGTGGCAGACCCCAGGAGCGCGGAGAACTCAGGTGTGGTAGACCCGTAGAATAGTTTGGACGCGGAGCAGGTAGTCCGGCGATAGGAAAATTGTTTAGACTAAAACGCTACACTCATTATAACGAATATCATGACCGTCAAAGTTTTAAGTTGCCGCCAATTTCTGCCGTCAAGCAGTATCAGCATTACTACGTTTCCATTTTGAAGGGTAAGGGTGCTGCTGAAATTACAGGCTCATGGGACTTGTCAACTTATGTCTCAGGGTGACGGGCGCAGTGGCAGTGCAGTGTGAGTGGCACTGCAACTGTTATGAACAGGCGTGTGTAGCTTACCATCAGGCGCATGACTTGTTCGTCCCGCACTCGATATTATAAAAAAAGAGTAGCAACCGTTCTCCCACAGAGTCCTTAACTGGTGGATTGTTATTTTAGATGCTAAAGTACTATTTTTAACCGACTTCGAAAAGGAGGAGATTCTCAATTCGACTAGTTATTTGTGTATTGGTTTTATGTGTGTTACGCGATTACTCCGGCAATTGTGAAGCATTTGATGATTCCTTTTTGCTGGAAAGACGGTACGTCAGTATTGGTTTCATATAAATTTGATGAAAATATTTCACGTCTAAGGGTGGCAAAGTAAGGGATGAATCCCTTTCCGTTAACCGATCGCAATTAAATTTGACAAATAAATTTAACTGCTATAAAAAAGCCGATAAACAAACTCGGTTTTTGTTTTAATAAAAAAGTTATAATTATTTTGACCGATTTCTGTATTTTTTTAGGTTACGCGATGACTACGACATTTGTGAACAGATTTCGTTGATTCTCTTTTTTGTTGGAAAGGGGATACCTCAGTAGTGGTCCCTTTCAAATTTGAAATGAATTCGTTTAATTGGATTTCACCCATGCTAACCGATTTCAACAAAACTTGGCAAAAATGAATGTAAATCCACAAATTTTTCAGGTCATTCAACGCATCTAAATCACGAATATTTGTTTTTTCAAATAAACCAACGTTTCGGGGTTTCAATAATCAGTCAGCCGTGACCACGGGTGTAAAGGGCGCGATATGCTATTTAGATTCCAAAAAAAAAGTTTCATTTCCTATTTTTTTGTAATTTTAATTTGACGCCTCTAGAATTCGATTATTTATTTATTTGATTATAGACGAGCAGCTTTCGCTGATATACCAGCGAAAGCTGGTCGTCTTCTACATCAGTGTTGAAATTTATATCGTTTGTTTTAGTTCACTTTTTTAGCACTAATTCACTCTTTCGTAGCCAGTTGTCGAGCTTGTTTTTGAAGGCATTAACAGAGACAGCAGAAACAACATCTTCCGGTAGCATGTTCCAATTGTGCACCACTCTGTTGCTGAAAAAATCGTGTGCAGCAGGAGTTTTAGAAGGTGCACGAACTAGTTTCAGATGGTGGCCACGTGACGGTTTAAAGTTTTCTTTTCTTTTAAAGACGCCTTGTATTGCTGGTAGATTGTACTGACTCGTCACAATTTTATAAGTCTCGATGAGGTCACCACGAAGGCGTCTTTCTTCCAGAGTAGTGAGGCGTATACGTGTAGTCTCTCCTCATAGGATTTGCGTCGAAGAGCCTGTGGCATTTTAGTTGCCTTCCTCTGGACGTTTTCAAGAAGTTTTATTTCTTTTTGGAAATAAGGGCTCCACACTTGATATCCGTATTCCAGCAGTGGCCGTATATAGGTCTTATAGATTTTGAGGAACACGTCTACTGTCATTGTTTGGAACGATCTGCGTATGACATAGATATAGGAGTTAGCTTTCTTGATTATTGTAGTGATATGCTCACCGCACTTTAAATTGAATGCGATATTGACTCCAAGATGATGATGACTGCGGCTAAGGTATTTCCATGCAAGTTGTATGTGACTTTGGGGTTATTGTTACCAAGATGCAAAATGCTACATTTTGAAGCATTCAATTTGATAATCTAATCTTTGGTCCAGTCTTATATACGATTTAGATTACGATTTGCAAAAAACTTTCCATCATCTGCAAAATAGGCACAATTGGAATCTATGAGCTCAACTAGATCTGTTACATATATCCAAATAGATGGAGAGTGAGCATTGATCCCTGCGGCGATTTAGTTGCGACAGGGAGTTACCGACACTTACCTGGAATGTTCTGTTTTTAAGATAATTGTCTATCCAGTTAAGTAGAAGTCCCACATACACCGAAGTGATCTAGCTTCATTAAGAGGCGCTGATTATCAAAAGCGCGTTCAAATTCCAGGTACACTACATCCACCGGGTTCTTATTATCAAGTTCTTTGCTCCATGCATTCACACATGTTAACAAATTTGTAACAGTTGATCTTTTTCGTAAAAATCCATGTTGTTTGGTTGATATTATACATTCCCGATTCAAAAACTGATTTAGTCGATCACAAATAATTCTTTCCATAATTTTGACCTCAACACTGGTGAGACTTATGGGACGAAAATTTCCTGGTTGAGTCTTGTCTTCTTTTTTATAAATTGGAGTAACTATAGCGTGCTTCCAATCTTGAGGCAAATGTCCCGTTTTGAAAGATTTATTCATTAGTTCTGTCAAAGTGGGAGCTAAGACCTTTACACAGTGTTTGAGAATGCTACTTGGTAGTTTGTCAGGTCCAGGAGAGGATTGTGTGTTCAATTTTATCATAGTTTCTTGCACATTTACCGTGAATGTAAAAATTCCTAAAAATTCTGTTAAAAATTCCTCTGCAGACACCTCCGCTATACCACTGGGATTCATTACTATGTCTCCATTATAACTGCTAATTGCTGATGGGATGCTTCCTTTGGTAGATGTGCATCGGCGTATGTGAGAGTAGAAGGCTTTGTCACCATGTTCCAGTATTTTTGATTCGTATACGCTTCTTTCTTAGATCGAGCAACACACCTGTTGCTAATCTCACGGAATTTCATGTAATCATCGCCTGAGCCAGAAGATCTGTATTTATCCCATAGCATAGTTTCTTATTCTTTAATTATTCGTTAGTTTCTTATTTGGAGTAAATACAAAAAGCATTGGTACTACCTTTGTAAAACGACATTAGGTCCCGGAGATTTATAAAAATATGTTGGACGTATGACGTATGATACTATTTCTAAGGTCTGCTGGCTTGATCCGTAGTTGATGTAGCTGTAGCCAATGACTTCGGTTTCGGGTCATATTGAAGGAATTTACTTTGTATTTGTTGGATCTTTATATGAATAATAATTACAAACTATAATATAAAGGTTTAAAAAGTAAACAATCTTCAGCTGTCACATGGTCCAATACAATATTTAGTGGTGAGTTTCGTACTTAGAATATGGAAAAACATCTTTAATTAAATATTATATTTATATAAATTTTTAAAGTTCATTATAATTTTACAATAAGTATACAGGTAATGCCTCATACAATACTTCATTATGGTTTGTTTACATTTAGTTGATTACCTAAACCCATCGAGTATAAACCTTTGTAGTATAATTGAGTATTAAAAAAAAAAAAAATAAATAAAAACAAAAAGACTTTATATTTCAACACATAACATACAACATTTAAAATTAAATGTTTGCTTAAATCTATATCGAAGAAAAAGCAGCATATTGCTGGTTTTCAGGCTGATTGCCAGGTCACTGGAGACATCGTAGCGTGTAGAAACGGGTATCTGTAAGATTCAATATTACATAATTGAGAGGGTACCTTACTCACAATGTTCCATATATTTTCACTACAGAAATACTGTTACGTAATTTCCCGAAAAATTTTAAATAGTGGAAAATTTTCCGAATAATTGGAAAAATATAATTTCAAAGGTTCATATAAGGGTCTACGTTTAGAAATATTTTTGAAGTTTTATTTTTATTAAGTAAACTAGTTTATATAAAAGCCACATAAAGAAAAACGAGATTTAAAATGATTTCATAACAGCGGAAAAATCTTTTTAATGGCTTCATCGTTTTCGTTCAGTAACTTCAACTTTTGATAGGCGTCAACTTGGCGTCAACGTCGAATGTGGAAAATTAAACATTGGCAGAATTGTCCTCAGTGGGACAGAAGCCAAAACAACACAAAACAATATTGGAAAAATACCTGGACAAACATTATTTTTTCAAAATGAAAATTTTCCCATGACCCAACACTATACAGCCTCCAATGACATACGTACTGACCACCGACCTTATTGCACTTAGCAGTAATGGATATTTTATTGAGTAGGTGAGAATGGAAATTCAACGAATTTAGAGTTATAAGGACCAGAACTAGCTAGACTACCTATTTACAGCCTTTGGAGTCGAAACCCTTGGCCCGTGGGATCCTGGTGCCCTTCATGTGTACAAAACTTAATCCAAATAATCTCAGTACAGAGTACTAAAAAAACCGACTTCAAAAGTACGAGGAATTACGTCTATTTGCTAAGATTTCTTGAAATATCCCCTAGTTCGCCACTATACAGGACTTGACACTGGAAGTAATAAAAATCGCTTCTCACTACTCAAAGTACATTGACAGAAAAACGCCTTGAATTGGAGAAATAGCAAAATCAACCAATAAAATAATTGCTCCTTAAGTAAAATTTAGGCGCTATTTATAAAAATGAATCTTCATACGTGCACAGCCACTCTTAGAGGTGGATGATTTTCTTCAAAATGAAATGGGACCCCTATGGAAGTACCTCCTTTCCAAAACAAAAAAAGAATCATGAAAATCGGTTCACAAATACCGGAGTTATCGCGTAACATGCATACAAAAAAAAACATACAGTCGAATTGAGAACCTCCTCCTTTTTTGAAGTAGGTTAAAAATTAATAGACTGTGAAAACCCAAGGGCCGTCAGCCACCTTGCCTAACGCATTACCATAGCTATACAAAGGGGAACGCTGCTAGCATCTTGGACACCTTGCCGCGGGGACCCAATTTTATTCATATAATTTAAAAATCCTAGTTTTACTTTCTAGTCTTTAAGCTTTTATTGTACCTTACCTGTATATTTTAACTTATTGTTTAATAATAAAAAAAATAGTATTTTTTTAGTATTCATTTAGATATTGTTAAATGAATATCATGGTAGTAATAACATCATGTTGTTGAATATAAATAAAGATATTGCTTGTTTTCGAATCAAGTTTCTATATATTGGGTACAAATTTTATTAATTTTTAATCCGTGGAATTTTCGAATTTTTGCCAATAGGAGCTGTAGATAAATACAGACTTCGCAAGAAGTATCCATTGCCGAAGACCATTTGGGATGGCGAGGAGACTGTCTACTGCTTCAAGGAGAAAAGTCGGAATGCGCTAAAAGACTGCTATTACAGAAACAGGTACAAATGGTACAGGATCAAGAGCATTTTGTACTTGATATTTAATGGTTTCTGGTTTGGTAACTCTATGCCTTTCACGATAGAAACTGAACAAAATCCCAAAGTGTCAAGTTTGATATGCTGACTGTACAAAATATCAATTTAATAAATCGTTTACTCACCCGTGAGGTTAAATCGTGGAGACAACAGGGGGTGCGAATTTAACAGTGTCTGTCACTGTAAAAAAACAGAAGGAAACCTTCAACTAGAAGAGTTAAAAACAGAATATTATAAAAGGAATAAATATAAAAGTTACAATCTTTGAAATATACAGGGTGGATAAAATCAATGTGACGTGAAGGGAAACTACTTTAAATGCTTAAGATATCTGATTTTACTTAAAGGAAACATACTTTTATTATTCCAATAATTTAATTCACAGATTTTTTGATAAGCTGAAAAGTAATTTTTACGAGCCATGTATTTACAAAAAAAATAATTTACAAAAGGTGGATAACTCTTTTGAAACTGTAGAAGATTTTGGGGTTGACGCAGACATTTTTTTGAAATTATGTGCACCAATAACAATGTTATGTGCATATTTAGTGTATCTACGTGACCTTCGTGTTAAACTCGATAGTAATGTTACTTTAGATAGGATAGATAGGACGTCTTCAATTGTACACTATAGAAATGTTAGATTAGATAGGATAGATAGAACGTTTTCAATTGTAAGGGTCGTATTCTAGAACTCTACTCAATGCTCAAGTCAAGGACTTGAGTATTGCAGTGAGCACTGAAAATCATACTCAAGTCCTTGCCATTAGGGTCGTATTTCCAGTGCTTGAAATCATACTCAAGTCTGCTCAAATCCTGACTTGAGCATTGAGTACAGTTCTGGAATACGACCCTAAGACCCAATGTTCATTACAGAGATTTTGTTCTTATCGTTGATCGTATTGATTAGTATATAAAATAGAGTTTGTTTAGTTTGGTTCGATTCTCTGCTCAGGTAAGCTTTTTTAAAAAAAAATGTGAATGCAGTTATTCATATTAAGAAAAATAAAAGAATGTTTCCTATAAGTAAAATAAGTTATCTTAAGCATTTAAGGTAGTTGCTTTTCAAGTTCTATTGATTTTTTCCACCCTGTTTATAATTGTAGATGTGTTCATTCGATATAGTGTATAATGATAAAGTGTTTTATCCTTATGTTTTACTCAGATATCCAACTCCCGATGAGAAGCGAGCCTTAGCGCAGAAAACAGGGTTAACCCTGACGCAAGTTTCAAATTGGTTCAAGAACAGGCGGCAGAGAGATCGTACTCCGCAACAACAGCCCAATCGACCGTGAGCATAATAAATCTTAATTATTTGTATGAAGTTGACGCCAAAACTCGAGACGTTTATTCCGTGGATATTCTTACATACGGTTTTACTAGACAAAGTACTCCATTATTCCAATTCCGTAAAATATTTTTTTTTTAAATTGGCGACATGCGAATTATCCCCACAGACGCATGGTGCACACAAAATAAAAAAATAAAAATCAAACGGAACAGAAATAAAGTATATTATATCGCTTTTCATGTCATATAGAAATTTATCATATTTGGTAATAGATTAATCGCATGAGATGGCTGATACATGGTCAAGAGCGCATCGAGCTTGTCATTTAAGATTAAAATTCTACTCTATTACGTTTGTAATAAGAGCGGGCCTAGTCTAAAATGTTATTATTCATCTATTAAGCATTAGTTATAGAGCCAGTAGCTTAAATCTAATCTCAAATATATGCAGATAATGTATTTATTATCTATGTTAAAAAGGTTTTTTTTTGTTCAAATGTAAGTGTGCATTTGACCCCCATCTCACCTGATGGAAAGTGACGATGAGGTCGATGATGGAGCATGCACACCTAGATAATGCCTATTCAATCTCGCCTTGAAAAGGTCCAAGTTATAACGTTCAGGGAACAAATCTGCAGGCAGGGCATTCCACTCCATAGCCGTTCGCCATATAAATGTGGAATATCTACAACATAGGGTTGGAAGCCAATCCTACGTCTAGTCCCTCAATAATTGAAAGGGGAAGGCGGAATTAAATCGTGTAATTCCATCGCACACTCTCCGTGATATGTCCCGTAAAATACCGATAAGTAGGGAACTTTACGACGATGTTCAAGGCTCTGCAGTTTCGCCTCTACTAATTCCGAGTCGCTTGCCACGATTGTCAATTGAATCCAAGATGGCCAGTTGGTATGTAGCAGAGCCATCCCAAAGGTGGCAGTAGTACTCCACACACGATCGGACTTGTGCAGCTGAAGCAACTGTCAAACAAACACATAACAAATAATTAAGAAACTCGAACCGTAATATACTTTTAAATTAAAATTAATCCGTGTAAATGTGTAAATACAAAAACTCCACCATTTTTTACAGGATCAAGAGCACGCCAAGCTTGATACTAAAGGTTTAAATTTAACTTTATGCCGCTTGCAACAAGAACGATCCAAAGTCGAAAGTGTCAAGCTTGATGTGCTCTTGACTGTACCAAACATGGTATTGTTGACTGAATGATTTAAATTATTTCCGTTACAGAAAAGGCAAACGTTTACATACAAAAATCTTGTGAATTTTTCTTTTCCTGAGTTTTAGGTAGATAAGGCGTATGCCAAGTCTTTAGTCCATTATTTGATGTGCTTTTGACAATACTATGTACCTTTTTTTTTACCGACTTCAAAAAAGGTGGAGGATCTCAATTCGACAGTATTTTTTTGTGTATTTTACGCGATTGCTTTGACATTTTGTGAACCGTTTTCGATAATTCTTTTTTCGTTGGGTGGCGTATTAGAGGATGAATGCGGTTTATTGTATTTTACACACTATCCGTTATTTTAAATGTATTATGTCAGTTTCCTAAAAAGTAATGAATTTCCTCATTTTATTATTGAAGATCCGACTGATGTAATTCTAGCGCTGTAGTTAGTAGCCAAGAGAATAGTTTCTCTACTTTTTAGAGTATTGTTAATGTGGAGCCAGCTTATCACGAGCCTAAAAAAACGAAACCAAAACAAAAACACTCACAGACCTTGAAAGCGTACAAACTTAAAAAACCAGTCAATAATATACAAATTTCAGTACTTTTGTTTAAGAAAATTTAGTTTTTAGTGCGATTAAATTTTTGTCGACTGTAAGTTTAAGTTTGTTCGGTAATAAGCAAAGAACAATGGCCCCTTATAAACGAATGAAGTTTTAAAATTTTATTTATGTTGCAACTCGGGCGACATAGTTTTTTGTTTGAATGTTAGTATTGTTTGCAATAAGTGGTAAAAAACAATTGTTTTTTATCGTATATTCACTTCAATAATTAACCTAACTGAAACTTAATTTTAGATAATTATAATCATGTGGACTTGATTTTGACAGTCACGTGTATTGAGATTATTATAATAAATAAGGTAAATCCTTGTATACGGTAAAAGAACCGCGCCATTTAAGTATTCGAATATTATCATCGTGAAATATTAAATAATATTTCAGTGTATTGCACTCGAATATTATTAATACTTCATGATAATATTGTAGAATATTAAAGAATAAAAAATGCCACCGAAATTTCGTAAACAAAATTAACCTGAAAATTGAAGGTTTTACGTATAGGTAGTGCCATCTATTTTTATTAAGAATATACTAATATATACAACATATCACATATACAGCGTGCAACACATTTTAGACAGTCATCAATTATTCGCATCTCATTCCTGGGTATGAGTTTCCTCTGTGGAAAAAAGTTCGAGCCCGAACCCACCACGTTGGTCTATTTGGCTCAATTTATATTGCGGCGGAACGGAATTGAAGCGAATTTTTATAACAATATTATACCTTTTACACCGACAGAGCAAGTGGTAAAGTGCTATATGATTCGAAATAATAATTTTTATTGTATAATTATTATGTGTATAAATTATGTTATGCGTCTATATTATCGAAAGCAAAACATACATTCGAATTAAGAACCTCCTCCTTTTTTTTAAGTCGTTTAATTGACAAATTCTATAAACATTTTTTGGCAGCAGTGTTCTGTCGAATTTCCGGGTAAAATGTAGAAGTAGTAACACAGAAGCAGAGATCTTTACAAATAAACATAGTCGACAAAATTGGTGCTTAATGGCATTGTCACTCATTTTCGCACATGTGTTTAATTTTGTGACAATCGGTGCCCTTTGTACTATTGATTAATAGCCCTTAACGACCGGCCTAAGGGACAATTGTTTTTGGAAAGGACTACAACAAAAACGACATCATTTTTTTAAATTAGTATTTCACTAATTTTGGTAGTTTTTTGTGTGACCATAATAAAGTGCCTAAGTAACGTTCTCATTAAAACAAACACAGTTGGGGAAGGGAATAATCAGCGATCAAAACTTTCTACCTTTATCTATGACACCAAAATAGTATTAGAGTGTTATATATTCATGTTTTGTACATATTAATAAAAATAATATCGACTTATCCGAAGAACAGAGTCCGTTGTGATTATATAGCGAAAAGAGAATATAGTACATTACGAGAATAATTTCGTAATGTTTACCTATATTCTCAAATATTCAAAACTAATTTAAATTAATTATTCAAAACTAATGCAATACAATTAATGCCCATGTAAAGGTGTTTTGGAAATTTATATACCTTATTTCGTTTCGAAATATAAAATCAAACAACAGTCGATCTGACATCCACAGCGAAGAGGAACGAACGAAATGTACAATGTCCAGAGAACAAGTAGACTTGCACATAATAATAATAATATATCGAGTTCTTAGGTTTTCGCGATTGTTACACATAGGAAATGAAACTATTTTTCCGGATTTAAATCGCGAATATTTGTTTTTTCAAACAAAGCGAAGTATTAGGGGTTAAAGTATGAAATTGCCGTTTTATTGCAATAGGTTCTTTTAATTTTCATAGAATCTTCATGGTTTGAGGTTTTCGAATGAAACTTTTTTCAAATGGTTTCTGTGATTTTTTTTTTT